AGCATTAGAGTTTGGCTTTACTTCAGTTATTCACACTTAATTAACAGCCTCCTACGCCTGCCATATCCAGCATTCTTACCACTCCATTTCAGGAGAAGACTCACACATGGTGTCTCTGTGTGTGTGTGTGTGTGTGTGTGTGTGTGTGTGTGTGTGTGTGTGTCTGTGTGTGTTTTGCAGTGTGTGAGTTTATATTCAGCAGTGCTGTGACTCCTGTGCGTTAAGTTGCAGGCTTTCATATCCGTGCCATCTGCCACACAGAACAGGAGCATCTAAAAAAGCAGCAAATGGTTTAGTAAATGGTTTGTAGTGTGAGTGCTGATAAAATGGGGTTTAATTATACACATATTTTCAGGTTTAGTACAATTTTCAGTTCTGAGGTTAAGATTCGATTCAGTTTTTGCGACTTGGTGTGTAAATGCCTTGATTCTACAGAACTCTAAGTATATCCTGCATGGTTCAGAAAATACTCATTTATAAGAAATGACTGTGAAGTAGCATGTTCTTGTGTGAAATAGTGTAAGCGTCAGGAGATTGTGAGTCTGAGCCCTGATGCTATGACCTTCCGTGACCGGGAGTAAAAGAGTTTATAATTAACCTCGCTCTCTCTGGATGACCCTCCCTCTCCCCCATCAGTCAGCATGATGCTAGCCAGTGCAGCGTCTGTTAGCGTACATAACAAATTAGGTGGTTCTCTGCCGTTTAGCTCCAAGTGTGCTGAGCTGTTTAACAATGTTGCTTTAGTGGCAGTTTGAAAAGATGCTGTGGCGCTTCATGTGACTCGGAAGAAGCATGTGCTAGCCTTTATCCTCCCAGCTTGGTAGTGTTGTGTGAAGGGGAGGACTAGCTAGTGACAGAGAATCGGCCATGACTAAAATTGGGAAGGCAAACTAGGTAAATATTAGGGATGGCGTGATATTTTTTTTTTCTTTTCCAATACCAATCCTAATTCTGCTTCTTTATAAACTACTAAGCTTTAAATTGAGCCATTTTTAATCAAAGCACTAAACATGAGCATCTAAAAGTATCAAAATCAAACTACTCAAACACTCTACTAGCCCACAGGAAGAAATACACAGCTGATATCGTCGCACAGTGTGATATGTGCTATTTCAGGCTAGATTTGTTACATGATTGCAGTCATTATTTTTTCCCTTCCAATTTCTAATCCAAAAAAAGCTGTAAATAAACAGAAACCTGATGTCCCTCATATAAAATCTTGTACAGCATATTGTCACTGTTGCACAAAAACATCTCGTATCTCCTTTTTTGTTTTTTTTTATTTTTTTTTGCACAGTTTTCGCCTTCTATCTAGCTCCTGAATTCCTAACCAATTGGAGAATGTTCCTCCCTTCACTCAGCTTAACTCCTTTATCCCTCCTTCTCCTGACCTCATAACCCCTCCTCTCCAGTCTTGGTGGGTGAACCTCTAGAGCAGGAGACAATTTAGAGCTACATTACAACACAACACAACTGGTTTTATGTTATTGAAATGGTGAATTAGTGATAGTTGTAAATTTTAAAATCCCATTTCAAAGGTTCCTTTTTCAGTTATTCAGTGCTGTACTGAAATGGTTAGAGTTTTACATGTGAGTGAAAAGTGAAGGTGGATGAAGTGAGTGAGCTACCTGCTGTGGCGCTGTTTGGCACAGACCCAGTAACCTCTTGTTTTTCGTACAGGAGGCACAGCTGTGGGCTGAGGAGCTATTCTGCACTCTCACTCTCTGTCTCCCTCTGACTCTCTCTCCCTCTCACGCTCAGTCTCAGTCTCTCTCCCTCTCCACGGGAGCTCTGTGCAGGCCGGGAAAGTACAAATCTGCTCAGTTTGATTCAGGGCCGCAGTCTTGACAGTTGGAGTAAATAAAAAGATGTCTAAGAGCTTCGCTTCCTCTTTCTGTACCCTTTAGGATTTAAGCCGTTACATCTGCTGCCTCTTGTGTCCATCACACCGGCCGTTTTTTCCTCAAAGGCTCTCCACGCTGTCTGAAACTTTTAATGTCCCACACAGGTGTTGAGCTGCAGGGCTCATTTTTGTATTTTTCAAAAAGTGACACAATCTATCCCCCATGTAGAACTGCCATTCGTCTTTCCAATCCCTTTGGATTATTTGTCGGTATATCACGTAAGATGCCTTTTTATACATATTTTATTTCTATTCACATTTGAGATTTACACACCTAGTTGTCTTGGATGTATTTGGAGAACCAGTCTTCCACCCAGTTGTTTAAACCCATCATTTCTGTTAGCCCATCTAAGGGATTTTTACTAGTATGTTAGCACTAGAGGACCTAGAGTGATGCTTTTTCTTTTGAAATTGGTCCCACCTATTGTAAATCAAAACATGCATGATTTAGGGCTGGGCGATAAAACGATAACGATAATTATCGCGATTTAACTTTTCCTCGATAGAGCGATACGACATGTTCGATAAATGTTCGATATAATACACCACTCTCACACTCCCACGTTCAGCGAAAGCCTTGGAGGCGTTTTCTACTGCAAGGAAGGCGACACTACTCTGCTGTCGCCAGGAGAGGGCGCACTTCCGAGTTTTTCTGCATGATTAGTGAGGGAGGGGGCCACGAGTAAGATGAGTCTTTAGCAACGGCTGAAACGCGGAGTTATACATTCCCTGTTTGAGTGGAGCGACAGGCAATCTGTTCTCCTGTGACCGAGTGTGAGTGACGAGGTCAGTGGTGTAACTGTCCTACAGCGAACTCACCTCTTTCCTAACATCCTAACCAGCTTTAGCAGCGTTAAATCACAATCCTCACAACTAAAGCGCTGTTACAGAGTTCGGACAGTCATATTTTAATATTAGTTCATTCCCAAGCAACGAAAGTGAAAGAAAGAAGTGGGTTCATGTAAATTACAGCCCTGATTTAAACGAAAGTAAACTGAGGAAGCTGTGAGGCATTGAAGAGGAGGAGAGCGCTATCTTTCCAGGCTAGCTGTTTTTAGCGGCTGGCTAACTTGAAGCAGTGCTCTGTCACTCCACAACACGGAGAATTGATGATACTGTAGATCAAACACGACACAAAAGCACCGCTTTCAGTTTAAACGTACCTAAAAGGAGGACTTTGTTTGTCTGGTGTTGATATTTTGCGGTTCACCCCTTAAACTACTACAATTGAATATCCAGTTGTCGCTAGCTGGTGTCTGAATACTGTGATGTCGTTTGTAGCGGGGTAGCCGAGCGCTCGTCACCAGCTAAAAATAATCTGTTTTCTTTCTTAAATTATGACTATTACAAAATAGCTGTGCTTTTCCAGCTGGTAAAAACAGCTCACCAGACACTTTCTCCCACTGTCCCATGACAGATTTGTGAAATGTTCCACTGTTTGGTGAGTGTTTCTCGTGTGCCGACCATAAAGGATAGTTTAAAATAGCAATTAACCCCCCAGGAGCAAAAATCAGCCTTTAAACTTGAAAGAAATAATGATTTGACATTTATCGCGGTATGTATCGATATCGAATGATATGAATTTTGTTTATCGTGATAACATTTTTGGCCATATCGCCCAGCTCTAGCGTGATTCATTTCATTTTCTAATTATGCACTCTCAGAAAAAGGGTAAGAAACTGTCTTTGGGTAGTACCCCTTTTGTCACTGGGGTGGGACCCTCAAGGATATATCTCAGTACCTTTAGTCAGGGAACATAATTGTACCATAATGCATTGAAAATACATTTTCTAAGTTGTATTGACTCCGTACACCCCGTCATCTCATCTCCAGGCCTTTTATTTGAGTTTATTTTTTTTTATTTAGATTCTCATATGTCGGAAATGGTAACTTTACTGAAGAAAGAAAAACATGTTCTTGCCAGTGATGTATGTCAAAGTAACAATTTTATTTTGAGCGATTTTGAAGCATTTCTGTTGGTCTAATCATCACGAATGGATAGAATTTCAGATGGTGTGATTTAAAAGCCCAAGACTAAAAAACAATCCCTAAAAACCTCCAACAAATGAGTTGAGTTTGTTACATGACAGCAACAATTTAACCTCTTAAAGTTTATGCTTGCAATTCAATTCCTAATTTTAAATGGCGGTCCTTTAAAGGATTTACAGGATTTATACCATTTTTAATTTATTTTTTTTTCGGGTGTTTGAGAAAAGGCCAGCTTTGCCTTCTTGTCTTACAGATTCTGTTGAGTGACTTCTTGTGGTGCAAGATGCAGAAAGATGCCACTCTGACTTCATTACAGTCCAAATTCTGTCTTGGCAAATGTTGACTTTCATTAGATGCTGTGATAGTGGTGGAGACCTCCAGTGCTGAAGGGCCAGATTCTTGCACAGATTGGAGATTTTACTGCTTGAACACGCCTCATTCATTTCATCGAATCATTACCAGGTTTACTTGGACTGTTAGAGTAGGGAAATCTACAGACTGTGCTGAACTCCGGACCTCAGTTTCCCTCTCCTGTTGTGAAGTAGTGCTATTGTTCATCTCCCTGCACACCAATATCCAACACATCCAATCTTATTTTCCCCCCTCGTATATTCCCCCAACTCAGCTTAACTCCTTCATACCTCCTTCTCCTGACCTCATCACCTCTCTTCTCCAGTCTTGATGGGTGAACTTCTAGAGCAAGAGACAATTTAGGGCGGCATTAGCTGCGCTCTGCTCTTTGCCCTGGCCTTGCTGCTTTTAAACCCTTGCGCTTCAGCTCCAGCTAACCACACTCTCCTCACCCCGCCGACCTCACTCAGAGCGCAGGATTACTGTGAAGCGTGGGGTGAATTCAGGAGCACTAGGCCGACCTGCTGCACGAACTCTGCTACTCTACACATCATTGGCAGCTTTCCTTCCATGTATTTTTGGGCGTTTTGACATTTGACATAAAGACACGATGCACTGTCACAATTTGCTTGTTTCTATGCTAAGGGGATTCATTTTTTGCAGATAAAAAGAAATGCAATAAATCAAGTCATATGAATGCTTACATGCTTCTATTTTTACCCAGCTGTAGCTATGAAATGTGTCAGAAGGCAAAAGGTACCAGTTGACAAATGAAGGAATTTAATTTTCCTTAATTTATCAAAGAACAGTCAAATGATGTTGGACTGTAAACAGACATAACATGAAGTTTGTTATTTTCTTTAATTTAATTGAACAGCTGAATGGAAACCTGGCTCTGGTTCTAGATGATGACACTATATATTCTCAACTAGGGCCGCAGCGATATGTAAATAATGGGCCGACACAAACATTTATGAAATGTAAAATTTGGGATTAAATCCACCTGGATTAGCATTAAACAGACATATTACATTTATTTCTTTAGGGCCACAAAATACAAAGTGAATAAAATGCAGAAATGTAATGCACAGTAACTGAGAATTTTGTCTTTTAAATGGTTTGGTAGGATGATTATGTGATTGATTATGACCGGGGACATGAACTGACAAGGGGGAAAAGTCCATTCTGATTTCAGGTCAACTTTAAATCATGATATCAGAAAATGTGATGTTTAGCCGTCACATCCTAGGTTTATTATTCATTTATTAATCTTAAGATCTTAAAGGGCCTGTATTATTGGAAACCAAACTTTGTTGGAAAATTAAATGAATTCATTAAAGAATTTGTTGTAGTATTGAAACATTTCAAAATGTCCCGTTCCCGCCCCTGAATGTTCAGTTCAGATAGTGGTTGCAGAAGAGGCCACCCCAGCCTTCCTTGCAGTTGCACTGCCATGGTTGACTGCAGGTGCCATGCATGCAGCCGGGGTGGAGCTGGCACTCATCACAGAGGGGGCCCTGCCACCCGAGGCGGCAATTGCACCCACCGGGGGTCTTACAGTAACCGTGCTCTTCGCTGCAGCCAGACAAGCAGATGGCTGTTATAAAAGAGTGGGAGGAAAAAAAGGGGGTAAATCAAAATGAAGGTGCTCTGGTCCCCAGCACTAAACAACCCCTCCCCTCACAAGGCTCAGACATATCAAGTATTTGTTAAGTACTAAAAACGAAGCAGCTCACAAAAGAAATACATGCTGACGTTTTCATGCAAGGCAGAGCACAAGTTCCAACATGTGTGCCTGTTAAACCATGCTCCTTGCTCCCATTGTCATGCTAACCCAAATGATTTCTCTTAAACTCCTTGAGAGTAATTCCTAGTTCTAAGACTACAATGAATTATTTGTGTTACAGAAAAGGGACACTTACGCTCTGTGCAGTAATTTCCTTTCCAGCCCTCCAGGCAAATCCTGCTGCCAGTGGCGTCGCATGTGAAGTGGCCGAAGATGTCATCCCGGGGACGGCAGTAGTCTGAGCAGCTGTCGCCGTAGTAGTGCTCGTCACAGGCGACATGATAGGAGTAGTGCAGCTCGCTCTGCTCTCCCTGGTGAACGTCCTGGGCTGATTCCTCCCTGATGGCTAGCGTGCGCTTGGTGGCCAGGCGGGTGATGAGATTGTTCTGGATTTCTTTAACACACAAACACTTGTTCAGTCATTCAGTCTTTTTCTAAGGGGTTTGGAGAGAAAGGAAAACATTGGGCTGGGTAAAGGGGTAGAGGGAGAGGAGTCTTACCGGTGAACTGCTTGGAAGAGGACTCGGCACTCCACACTTCAATTATCAAGGAAAAGTTTCCCTGAAAAGAACCATGCAGGTTTTAGCATATATTCATACATACATAGACACATCCCTATTTCACATGAGATTACAGATTACATTACATTAAGTCACGATATGCTTTGGATACTGTGGATAGTCAGGTCTTAATCACCTTCCAACTGCGTAATTAATCCTGTTTGACTGGATTTAGTGGAGTGTGTGATGTTGAATACGAGTGATTGAATTTATAGTTTTTGATAGAATTTTTTTATACTACTACTTTGTCTGTTCTAACTTATCAGATGTCAGAAAAAAAATTGTTAACATACAAGCGCACTGATAAGCTACTCACCGGCCACTTGAAGTTGAAGGGCACTCTGATGGGATCGCTGCTGGAGATTTGGTCTGCGCTGAAGGGCTCAGTCAGGCCGGTGCCGTTGGTGCACAGCGGCTCGGGCAGAATCACGTCCTGGGAGTGTTTCAGGCACACGCGGAAGAAGATGCGGCAGTCGACGGCGCGCTGGCAGAGGGCGCGCGCGCTGTGGAACGCGTGGACCTTCAGCTCGAACACACCGGCGGAGCGGACCTGAGGTCGGAGAGAGAGAGAGAGTGAGGACGGAACTGGGACACGACGGTGGACGATGTCAGAAAGGCCTCAGAGGAAGAACACTCACCAGGTCGGCCGAAAGCAGAAGGAGGAGGCACGCTGGTAAGACGTTAGCCATTGTTTTGGTGGTTTCTCCGTCTGCCGAGACAGCAGAATGTGACAGGTGTCCAGTGGGCTTGGTTCCAAATCAACAATGCAAAGACGACACCGGAGAAAAAAGGCACAAAACAGCCTGGAGGATGTGCTGTGAAGTGAGTTAAACCTGAATAAACTGCATATCCAGTTTGCAAGAATGTCCAAGCTGAAAAAACAAACAGAAAAAGCTGAGAGAAACCTAAGCAAGTAGCAAGTATCCGGTACAAAAGAATGTACAGCTCAAATAAAGAGCTACAAATAATAAATGCTAAAACCTGAAGTGAAGCTATTATTATTATTATTATTATTATTATTAATATTATCATTAATTAATTAATTAATTTTTTAAAAGTAAGTTAAATGTTAAGACCGTGCTGAAGAACTGTGTAGAGCTCACCCTCACTGAAGTACCCTCAGATCTGGCTGTTGTGTAGACTTTGGACCCAGGGCGGACTGGCCATCAGGACGTCCAGTACGGCCGTCTGTCCAAAGGCTCCATGGTTCATCGACCTTAAGTGTGTCATTTGAGTTATCCAGATGAAATCACATGAAACAAAAGTGTAATTATATTAAAACAGAGATTAAATTGATATGAATGTGCTTGGAGTAGATTATATGAAGTGCTGTTATAGGCAATTAGGCATGTAAACCTTGTATCTATAACTTTACATTTACATTTATTCAGTCAGCAGACGCTTCTATCCAAAGCAATACAAATGTGGTTGATGCAGTCAAGCATACAACTTATCTATTCAGTTATTTGTTTATTATTATTTGTTTATTCAGGTTCAAGAGTACCAAGAAGACAGCTCAACCTCACATTACTTTAAGTGCCCCAAGTCAGAGGGGCCCAATATGCAAATGTGCATGCAGTTGAGATATATATAATGAACTCTGTGCTAATTAGCATACCAGGCTCCACCCCATAACAGTTGTACATAAAAAAAAAATAATAATGAATGAATGATATGGGCCTTCTAAGATTGTTCAGTTTCTACAGAATTATTTGGCAGCTGCTCTGAAACTGATGTTATATAGTTGAATGTGAGGAACACTAATGCAAAACTACATCCTGTATGAAAATTAAATATACTGTTATGTAGTCAGATTCTACTTCCTGTATAAATCAAAAACTTTGTAATATATGTATACTGATATTTTTTTGTGGGATATAAGGCCCTTTAGGGTTTAAGTTTAACTGATTATTTTTGAGAGTACAGCAGTGAAGCCATTCATGTGCTAACTGTACTGGACTTTGCTTTGTAGTGCTACAGCCTGTCTGGTCAGTAGTCCAGACCAATGGGGTCTGTATCCTGCTGCTCTGCATGTGGTGGATGGTGTATGTTGTAACAGTGGGCGGTGTTTGACGGATCTCTGTGCTGTAGCCTCAGGGAAGGTCAGAGAATATCTTGTCACTCACTGTCTTCACTCCTCTGTGGAAACTGATGGCAGTGGATATAGAAGGAGAGTGTGATGTAGGAGAAGCGTGCATACAAACTGTAGAGGGGTTCTTCAATACCAACTGTTGTGAAGTTGAACTAGGATTACAGGACGTTGGCCAAAATCCAAAGGAAATATATGAATGAGTGTGAAAGGAAATGTGTGCATTACATTAGCCGTGCCCCTTCCCTCACTCACTTTGCACTGATAGCATGCACCTAGATGCTTAGTTTTGATCACTGGGATTGGTTTCCACGAAAGACACGAAATGATGAAATACTGTGTGAAATTTCAGTGCACTGTTTCAAATGAGATTTTTCAATGCTGCATAGAAATCATTGCACCCTATTCAAACAGGATTAGTTTTTGGTGGGGTAATGCCAGGATGTCTGTAATGTTTATAGCCAGTTCGCATAGGACTAAATTCTATACAGTATTGAAAAATCAAATTTCAAACAGTGTAACAAATTTAAAACTGTATGTTTTGATAAATCCCTCTGTTCTTTTTGAGCATCTCTCATTTACAGTCTTTCATGGGAACCAATCTCAGTGACCAAAACTAGGCATCTGATGGATCCTATCAAAGTAATTGGGTGGGGGGAATGGGTGGGGCCTGAGCTATGCACAAACCACAGTGCACAGTGTGTTAACATACATTTATCTCTTAAGTTCCTTGAAAATATTTTTTGTTAAAATAGAAATCAAATTTAATTGACTACAGTCGCAGAATTGTTTACTTGTACCTAGTTACGCTTTTTAGAGTGTAGTAACAGTCAAAAACACAGTAAAAAATCAATCAAAATATAGATCAATATCTAAGGAAAAGTAAAAAAAAAACAAAAAAAACAACTTTTTTTATATTGAATATTGTTTGAATCATTATTGTTAAAGCTGTAAAAACACACATGCTCTGGTTTGCCTTGCCCAAATAAAACCTTTTGTTTTCGGCTTTGGTTCCTCAAAGCCTGATTGCTATTCAGTACATGCTGTGAGTGCTGTCTTTCTGCATTTTACACCACATGAAGTGATCTAAGCCATAGATCTGGAGTTTACACTTCAGCCTTTTAATCACAGTCTTCAGTGGTTGTACAGTAGGAGAGCTAAGAGAGCACCAGGGAATACTGTGTTATCTGCAGCTGTCTGTAAGAAACTGATCAATAACCCTCGGATTATTATACTGTTACTGCAGCATGTCTTCCAGTTCTTATTATCTGTTCAGTTGCAAAATTCTCAAAATGTGGATTTTTGATGTTGAATTTTTGTGCAGTAAATTCAGTTAAAGCTGTTTTTTTCAGTTATCTGCATGTGAGTATGCTCTCAAAGCACTTACGCAGAGAAAGAAAAGAGTGTGTTTACTAAGCTTACCCAGCACTGGCCTCATAATGTCTACTATATTAATGGCTTACTGCTGAATTAAGGTAGAAATGTGAAGAGGAAGGGAGTGATTGGGGTTAGTTTGTATACAGGCTTATCCAGACAGTGTCCTGGGTATTCTGTTGTTTAACAGAGCTACGCTTGCTCTCCCCAGACAGCAGGGCTTCTGTAAAGGAATAATGTTACCTACAGATTAAATGAATTAAGTGTGGTGGATTAAATGTGTGCAAATAAAATGTTCCATTTAACAGTATCTTTTGCCTTATGGCACCTTTGAGAGCTGGACATGTAAAGCCTGAATTCACTGTAGTGTGATTTGTAATGCTTCCTCTCTCAATGGTAGGAGTTCAGTTTCTGCCACTACAGGTTTCAGCGTTTGACCTTTAAGTTGGAGCTGAACAGCTGTAAATTCAGAGAGAGGAAGAGAGAGTGAGAGAGAGAGAGAGAGGGAGAGGGAGGGGTGACCTCAGACCAAAGAAGCTCCAATTCAATTATTTTATCAATTACCTGCAACTTTTAATTTAAAAGGAGCTGTGATGAAATTCCGCTCACCCTCATCTCCGTGGGTGGGGGGGGGGTATTACACACACCGTATGAAAAGGATTTCTACTGAACATGAAATATTGGTATTGTTGCAAAATACCAGTTATAATAAACTGGAATGGTCTGCTAATGCATAAATAATTTGCATAATCAAGTACAGTATTAGATTTATGTGTCCAGTACAGTTCCTGTTCTGGTTAAAATGTGACTCTCAAGCATACACTTATATTATTTGTTTGTTTATTTTTGTCTTGAAGCTGCTCTATGTGTGATTATTTTTGTTAAAACTGAAATAGCATTACTGAATCAGGAGAAAAATGACTAAAATATGGCATCTGTGCACAACTGCATGTCTCCCTGTAATGCCTGGAATAATAATTTAAAAGTCAAGAGGTGTCGGGTCGTTTTTTGGGACCACGTCATATGTACAGACTCAAAAGGAAGCTCCGGCTCAATGTTTAGGCCTCAACTGCAAATTAACATTATACTAATGAATATGTGATGGCAATACAAGATCATTCACTTTCATCCTCAGAAGACATATCTATCACCATGTTTTGACTGAGTTCTCTTTGAATTCTCTTTCAGCAACTTACACTTACATACTTTAAGTAAACCTAGGGCTGTATGCAGGGATGGATTACTCAATATCCTGGGCCCCTGGTAGGGATGGATCATAGTCTTGCAAGACCGCTGGGCTATGGAGTCTTTCAAAGACCCCCACATTCCAACAGTAACACATAACAGGAAATAACAAAACAAATCACCACCTCAAAAAGTGAGATTCAGCAGCTTTGTTTGTCTGTGTGCACTAGACTAGACAGTGTTGCAAATGTAGTGTTTGTTTTGAAAATGCTGAAGAGCAAGAATAAAATCCCAAAAGCTGATGATAATATAAAACTGGAGAGACTTGACAACAGATAACATTTCTTCATTTATTTTGTTTATTTAGTCATTTATGCACAGGACTATTCTTTCATCTAGTGTGTATATCCGCAGCCTTGTGATCTGAGGCCCACAGGGCTCCTGTCAGTCAGAGGCCCCTGGGCATTGGTTCCAGTTGTCTAGTCAGCAAGCCTTCCAAATCTTTCCACCACCAACAATCACTACCACCAACAATTACCATCCCACAGCATTAACCACAGTGTTGAGCTTCACTGCCATTACCACGTATTTGTTGTTTTGTTTGTGGTGGTGGTGCTGTTGTTGTTGTTGTTGTTGTTTTTAGATAAAAACTAAAATGTATTGTAATATGAAACTTGAAACAGCAGTGCTGAGAATTGATGCTGCATTTTCATTAAACCGTGACACAAAGTGCTGGTGACAATAGGCCTAATTGTAATGATCTCCTGCTCAATGTGTGTTCGAGTGTTGAATCTTCTCAACACTGATTTCAGTATGTGGTTTGACCATGGGTGTGACCTATGGCGAAAAAGACTTTCCACACCACAATCCAACCAGAGGCCTGTCTCATTAAACATGTTCAACTTAGACAGGGTTCCTGATTAAGTTTGAAACTACATTTTATGATATTGGTTAACAGCTTTCTCTGTTGGCCCAGGTTTAAATACTCAAGTAGAAAGTAAAGCAGTTAGAATGGTAAAAACAACCCATGTCACCACCGTGTTAGTGCTAATTGGAGTAATACTTGCTGTACGTTCTTCATATCTATTTTTATTTTTAATTATAGCCATTGCTTCTCCTGCAATGGCTGTCATGAGACAGAACATCCAGGGCTAAATTGAACTGAGCCTAAATTGTGAAATGTGGAAAACGGCAGAAGTTGATTCAAATTGAGTTGAATAAAACTAGATAAATTCTGTTACCACATTTTTTTGCTTTGTTTTGTTTTTTGAACTGTGTAAAGTAAGTGGGCTAAGCAATAAGATTCATGATACCCCCTGACTGGCTACCACTTGGGGAAGTTGGCTTCTCATTAGCTCCCATCAAAAACATTTAGGACCTAACTGAACACATTATTAATAACAGTAACACTTCATAATTTATTTCAAATTCTCTAGCTGTACTTGGATTAGCTCATTTTTTGACTCACTGGTGTTTTGATGGGTTGTCTTGGCTGTGTGTGTATTATAAATCTGTGCTGCTGAAAGGACCTGGGCGCAAGGCCATTAGGCCCAATTCATTGTAAGATC